GTAAATAAAGGTGAAATGTTCATTTGTTTGTTGAGCACAGACTGATCAGGGTAGCTCTACTGTACAGTCCACATTCACTTCTACATCTTGTGCAGCACAAAGACACTATGTTAGTAAGACTCCACACAGTCCATGGTGTGAACATATCAGCCCTTCTTTTCACTCCACGCCACCTCTAAGGCTTTTGTAAAGCACAATTTGTCCTAGAAGTATGATTACACTTTACAAGTGTGTACTACTCATCTATACCCTACTCACGCAGCTCTTGCCAGCCTTACTAAACGTAGCAGGTAGAAGCCACCTGACTGCAAAAGCTGTTAATCTCACTCGCTTTTTCAAGAGTGTTGTCCAGTTTCACCTGGGGGTCAAACTTAAGAGCAAATTTGCACACTCTAAGCATTGTGAGGCCAAAAGTACAATCTAAGTGCAACATCATTTTAGTTAAGGTGTTGTGTGGAGGGAGAGAAGGGGGAGATTTGGTCAGGTGAAGACACCCTCATCCATTCTCATTTTCCTAGTTACCAATTTTGCAATAAATCGGATGGCTGCTCAGCAGAACGACAGCTTCAACAAGATGAAAAGGAGAAAAATATTGCAGGACAGCCTTGGTCACTGAAGGATTTCCATTGCAGAGTCAAGACATTTGTGAGCACTGAGGGAAAATAAGCAGTGCTGAAAAAAATCATGCTATTTTCAGGTTTCAGCTGGGAACAAAGGCTAACTTTAGCTGAGACACACACGTGTGCTGCCCCTGTGCTTTTCTGATGGCCGTATGAGTTTCTGCAGAATACGTAACTTGAATTTTGGGCCAAAAATGTAGACCTTGTCTGAACAAATAGACGCGATCCAGTGTTTGCTTCTTAAACATACTCTTGATGATCACTTGATGAAAACAGCTCTAAAAGATGGGAATTTCTCTGTTCTGTTCAGGATGGTGCAAACAGAAACATTTTACTTGACTCAGTAGTAATGTAAATAAATCACATTTCCAGACATGCTGGCAGCTTGAAGTCTGTGTTGAGTTTAATTATTCAGTGCCCTAGGCATTAGATAGTCCCAGTGCAAATACTACCATTTTCTTTACTAACATCTTAGGTTAAGCATGTAAGATCCAAAACAGTCAAATACCAGCCACCGGAACTGCCAGTCATATTCTGGGGACACAGAAGTAAGTTTTCCAGGCTCCCATTGAAGGCTGTGTAAACACTCAGCAAACTAGTTCTGTGGATGTTAGTTGAATGCCGTCGCTTCACAGATACCCGTGTCAGCATCACCACCCTTCTCCACCGAGCAAGCAGTAGTCTTAACACTTCCATCAGAGTTCCTCCTTTATTAGTGAGCACACAGATCTATCCCACGCTGAAGGAGACCCATCCCCTGCTACACTATATGCTGATAACTCCTCTAGAGACTGATGGAGAGCGAGGAGGTTTGCAGGAACCCTAAAGAATAAGGGATTTGAAAACGAAATTTGGAATTGCAGACTCCTGGATAGAATCTGCACCAAGAAAATTGATGTGTGCACTGGAGTTTGAAAACAGAAAGAAGACACTGTTTAACACATTTGAGTTTGCTCATGGCAGACGAGAAGCACATCAGCATGACTGCTAACCAGCTGTATAACCCCTACTAAGAGACTCTCATGCCTCAACATCACATTAAAAAAATATAGTTTAATAAATAAATTCCCCAGAGAGACCACGATTTGGTCCAATTGATCTTATGGCAGCAGTTTACAAAGGTCCTGTCCCATCCCTTTGCCGAATAGCAAAGTCAACAGAACAGACCCACGTGTCTCAGCTGCCCCAGGCTGCAGGCTGGTGTTTCGGCATAAGCTGCGGACCCACACAAAAGACCAGCACGGGCACATGCTCTGTTTTCCTGTCACACTTCCACCACAGGGGCCAGAAACCTGTGCCTGAAGCACCTTTTCACTGTCACAGCTGCTCACTCAGGTGAACTTAAGTAGGAGCCAAAGTTTCCCATTTTTTTTCTGTTAATTGTAGAGAGCATTTTGAAGCAAGCTGCTGACAGCGCCCAAAGGACCAGCAAGATGGTGGCATGGAGCCACTCACGGCACAAATCTTGTGTGCATCACAGACAAATTCAGGGTAATTTGGGGCCTCAAAATTTACCAGAATGAGGTCAAATCGATCCCACATCAGTCAGCCACTCATTACCTGGGGCAGCAGTTCGGCACCCCTCACCCAGCTGCTACCAACTGCACCAGGTGCACGGGTGTGAGAAACAGTCATCGTGCTTCTGCCTTGCTGCTGTGCCTGCTTCAGATGTGTTAAGTCTCAGCGTCTAGACACGGACCACTTTTACACTGCTTAATTTTATTCATATGCCCTAAAATTTCTTTCTAAAAGGTTGTTAAAACTGAGTCTGTTCTCTGCCCAACAGGACTCTGAACTGCAGAATAGTTCTTGGTGAGAGTGATTGCCCGTGAAAAACAGTAAGGACTCCAGGTGCAACTTGCAGACAGGTGTCATGTCTTACCTACCAGTGCTGTTAATAATCATGGCTTTACGCTAATAATTGCACCTCCAGACCCTTCCATACATGCTCTGTTCATTTCCAGATTGAGGTCCAGCTCCTGTTGAGCCGTGTTCCCCTCCCATCCTGTTCCTTTGCCCTCTGTTCCCTTTCAGTGCCCTCTGGGCATGCTCCATTGCCCTTCCAGTACTTGTGTTTGCGCTCTCACCCCTTGTGGCCCCCCTTGTTGTCACTATGTTCCCCTCTAGACCCCTCCACTGGTGCTCTTTTCCACTCCCATTCTCCAACTGAGCTCTGTTTCCTGCCAGTCCCCTCAGGTCATGCCTCTTTCACCATCTCACAAGTTGACAAAGATGGGCTCCGCGCCTTGTGGCTGTCCCAGGCAACCCAGTGTCTTGCTGTCCAAAAACCTGGGACAGCTCAGGGATGGACGGAAATCAGGAATGTAGAAGAGTGGGATTTGCTCTGTCACCAAGGCCCAGCAGAAATCCGTGGGCACCCATGTGTCCAACCCCCCCCCCCCCTTTCTCT